AGGGCAAGCTGCTGTACCAGCTGCGGGACATTGCAAGCAAAGAAGGCATGCGGGGTTTCTACAGGGGCTATGTGATGGGGATTGCGAGTTATATACCGTACAACGTGCTGTGGTGGACGACGTACGGCAAGACGCGGCGGCGCATGGCGGAGCGCAGTCCGGGGGTGCAGATTGCGTGTGGAGCGGGCATGGCGGCGCTGTTCTCAGCGGCGTTTATACATCCGCTGGAGTTAGTGAAGACGCGGTATCAGGTTGCGACGAGTGGTACGGTTGCGGCGGTGGGTGCGGGTGGGGGGTGTGGTTGCTAGTGCTAGGGAGTCGGATCGAGAGGGCTTGATGCAGGTAGTGAGGAATGTGAGGAGGGAGAATGGGGTCAGGGGTTTCTATGCTGGGTTTACGCCGACGGTCATGAGAAGTGTGCCGAGTGCGATTATTATGATGAGTGTCTTTGAGTATTTGAAGGCCGAGAGGAAGGAGGGGGTTGAACAGGCTTTATGAAGTTAGAGAAGCCGCAAAATTAGACCTTAAAACCGCGAGGAGGGATTTACGTGGATATGCGTAATTGTATCATGTATAGAAAGGGCACATGGATAATAGATCAATAGAAGTCTTTTGCAATCTTTCAATGCCTTTGCGGAAAGGAGAGGATGTGCTTGGACAAGTGATTCTTGTTTTGGGAGCCATTTCAATTTATAGATACGGGGGGCAACGGAGGGGGAACTTGCATAGTGGCAAAAAGTTTAAGCAACTAGTCTTTTGTAAGAATGGCAGAAGCACAGTAGTCAAGTGCTAGAAATAGTAGGGCTTGAGAATAGACTCAATGATACTTGTATAGTATATTACCCCTCGGAAGACTCATAGCCGTATTTCCAATCGCCAGCTTAATTGTATATTTGATAGCAGGCTCTGATCTGTTATAAAGTCGCTGATACTCTACGGCGAAACCAAGATCCAGACGTTTGTAAATGCCAGCTACACTTCATGTTTCCCACCACCGAGAATATAGATCTGATCTTCATAAGTCCAGTATCACCACTGTAAAGGTATCATTTCCCCATCCGAACCCACACCCAACATCTTTCCCTTCCCAACCCGGTATACGCACCCACTAATCAGTACTCAACTTCCACAGCCCATCCCCCAAATAATGAGCCTCCTCAACCACCGGTCCCTTCCCCTTCTCCTTGACCTCCTTCGTACCCATCGACAGCAGCCCCACCGCACACGCCTCCTCCTTCCCCTCGGCACAAATAACGACCGGCTCGCCTTCCTGCAATTCCCTCCCCCCATACC